CAGCTCCCCGCCCCCAGCCGCCTCCCTGCTGCTCCGCACAAAGGAAAGGGACCCACCGTCTGGCTCCGGGCGGGGTAGAGGCTGGGCTGGGGCGAGAGTTCGCTTTAGCCCAGTCCGTGGTTTTGTCTCAAGAATAAAAAAAAAAAGGGGGTGCTCATTGTTTTACCTGCTTGAGGGTTAAGGTGGTTTTTGCTGGGAGGAGCACGTGCACATTTAGCTCTGCGTTTTGATTGCTGAAATCTTTCCCGATCTTTATTTTTAAAAAAGAACTATAACGTAGAAATTGCTTTCAGCTGCATCTTAAGTAAATAGTATTCGGCTTACGGAGAAAGCTGGATGACTTTCGTTAATGACTTGCTGTTTTCTTTTTAATCTATTTATCACTCCTTAGATGCCAGTCATTGGGTAAGTTTTTGTTAGATTTTAGAGGGATGATAGTTGCATTATTCAGATATTAACGGTTCTAGCCTAATAGAAGAACAAAATTGGAGTTAATGGAGAATACCACCAAATAATTTACAACTTAAAATCTGTTTAGGAATATAAATTTTACAGTTAATTACATCCCAGAATATTTTTCCATAATTATTGCATTGATCTCTGGGGATCTCAAACATTGTGGACAGTTTATGAGGAAACAACAGTTCCTGAAATGTACATATTTTTACCCAGGCACTGTAAATGATTGGGGGTATGGGTGTGTATAGTTCTAAAAGGTGGTGAGTTTTGTGAAGTTTTAAGTAGAGTGTGTAGCATCAAGTGAGAGAAAATTTTACCACCTACTGAATCACGGTATATTTTGGTCTCAATTTTGCTGTGAAAAATTTCCTTAACATTTTTCTGTTTTCCAACATACAGGAAAGTTGGAAGAATTGGAAAATGAACTGCCATATGTCTCCATATGTCTGTTACCTACAATTAGTGTTTTGCTATATTTGCTGTATCACACAAATTATCAGTCCATTTTATTTTTTGGATGCATTTCAATATTAGTGCATGTTCCCCTTAAGCACCAGCAATGTCATTAACCTGAATTCATTTTTTTTTTATTTTTAACTTTTTTCTTTTTAGGTTTGACATGCACTGAAATTCACATGGTCGCCATTCTATGAGTTTCCACAAAACTGTGTAATCTAAAGCTTTATCTNGCATATCATTAACCTGAATTCATTTTTTTTTTATTTTTAACTTTTTTCTTTTTAGGTTTGACATGCACTGAAATTCACATGGTCGCCATTCTATGAGTTTCCACAAAACTGTGTAATCTAAAGCTTTATCTAGATGTAGAACTTTATAATTGACTAGAAAGTTATCTCTTACCCTTTCCCAGTTCTGCCACTCTCCCCTCCATCAACCACTTTTTTTATTTTCCTTCACCGTGGTTTAGTTTTGCTTTTTCTAGAATGTCTCATAAGTGTCATTGGGTAAGGCTTTTTTTTACTCAGCAGTTTTCAAGATTCATTCTTGTGTAGTTCCACTTTTACTGCTGTGTTGTTTTCCATTGTATAAATATACCATAATTTGTTCTGTTGTGGTCAGTCACCTGGGCTGTTTTCAGTTATTTGCTATGGACATTCTTGTACAAATCTTTCTTTGACAAATGCTTTTATTTCTTATGTTAACTACTTAGAGGTGGAACGATTGGATCATGTGGTAGAAACCATGTTTGTACTGTTTTACTATCCTACACGACAGTGCATGGAAGTTCCTGTTGCTCCACATCCCTGCTAATATTTGATAGTGTCAGTTTTTTTTGTTTTAGCTGTTATATTGGGTGGGTAGTCACATTAATTTTTGAAGTCCTTAGATCTTTTTCTCCCTAGGACTCCTGGTTCAGGTCTCCATCATTCCACTTGCTTTGAGTATTTTACTGTAAAAGATTAGAAAGATTCAATATTCTATAAATTGAAAATTTGATTTAGATCAGTTTATGATATATCTGTGAGGATTTTTTTTTTTTTACTTTTTGTGATGGTGAAATTAGAATTTTAAAATTCTGTGGAAGTTTTAATTTTACTCCTCTGTAACCAAAATAAAGTGTTAATAGATAAAATTAAGGCCTTTCTGAAGCAATTTTTTCTGATGGCAGTTGAATTTTTATTTTGATAAATGCTTTCTGTTGGAGCAGAAAACGTGATAAAAATGAAGCTCAACACTGCACCAAGAATGTGAAGACAAGTTGAACTATCTGTGGGCTCTGTTAAGGGAAGCACATAGAGGAAAATAGGAAAGAATAAGAAAAGCAATTTCAGATGACTTGTAAAATTCTACTTGAAGCACAACAAAAAACTTGTCACTTTGTAATTAGTTTCCTTAAATGGTTTTGATAGCTTTAAATTATTTGCTACAGATTAAAATTTATTTTAAAAATGTATTTAATGACATTAAGATTCCCATAAAAATGTTCAGTAAAAAAATTGGAAAATATTTGGTTCTGAGAATTCTTAGGTAATGTTGGAGGTGAAGAGTTACCCTTCAAAAGGATAATATTGAAAGCTTAGGATTTCAGGCAAATCTCATTTTCTACAATTTAAAATCATCAATAATTGTTTCTATATAATGTGAATTCTCTTAATACATTATACTGAAGTAGTATTTCTTTATATGAGTATGTTCTGAGTGATTGAATGAAATTGTTAAGCCTCTGGCGTCAGTTGTAAAATAAGAATGGTGTGTGTGTGATTAAAATTAGTGCAGAGAATGAAAAGGAGCTCCCATGTAACTTCTGATTAGTTTGTCCTTGGATTTTTGTAGCCCTCTGGATTATAGTGTAAAATTTGAAATATAATTAACTGAAATGCTAAGGCAACATGTATTCTAGTTTTAGAAATCATCTTCATCACTTGAAACTTTTAGAAGAATATTAATGTACTTAACAACATACAATAATATAAATACTATATTGAATAGAATTGAGCCTTTCCTGATACGGGAAATTGCAGTGCCTTAGAGTCATTATCACAAACATTATTTAACATTATAGTGTGGGTGTAGGGCTACACTGTCCTCTTTGATACCACCAGCTACCTCTGACTTTTGAACATTTAAAATATGATTGAAATGATTTAAAATGTGCTGCAAGTGTAAAATACACATCAGATTTTGAAAACTTGTGATTGGCTGCTTATACATAGCATAATGTTTTTTAAGGCTCATCCATGTTGTGACATGTATCAGTGCTTTCTTTTTATTGCTGAATAATATTCCATTGTATGGATATACTGTACATCACATTTTATTTCTCCATTCATCAAATTGATGGACAGATATTTGGGTTGTTTCTACTTTTTGACCATTAAAAATAATGCCTCTGTGAATATTCATACAAGTTTTTGTGTGGACATACATTTTCATATTTTGTGGGTGTATACCTATGAGTAGAATTACTGGGTCAGGTGGTAGCTCTATGTTTAACTCTTTGAGGAATTGCCAAACTATTTTCCAAAGCGGCTGTACTGTTATAGTCCCACCAGTAGTGCATGAGAATTCCAATTACTCCACATT